AGTTTTTTGCACTTGGTTTTATACCATATGGCTGCGTCTCTGCACAGTGTCTCACTGTCTGTTGCATATAGCAAACATATGGCTGCGTCTCTGCACAGAGTGGCTCACTGTCTGTTGCATATAGCAAACATATGGCTGCGTCTCCGCACAGAGTGGCTCACTGTCTGTTGCATATAGCAAACATATGGCTGCATCTCCGCACAGAGTGTCTCACTGTCTGTTGCATATAGCAAACATATGGCTGCGTCTCCGCACAGATTGTCTCACTGTCTGTTGCATATAGCAAACATATGGCTGTGTCTCCGCACAGAGTGGCTCACTGTCTGTTGCATATAGCATAAATATGATCCATAGAGGTCTCCATGACAGCTGTACCTGTGAATCGAATGATGGAGTTGTGAAATTAATCCATAACTTTTACACAGCGAGGTGAATGAGACTCCTAATTTTGATTGTTTTTGTTTCCATGAAATGTGGCCTATTTTTCTGCAAATCCACATCTGTGCTGTGGTGGCTTAGTCTCTAGCTGCTCACATGCCAGCCTAAAGATCTTGGGGTCAAATCTGCATCAAGTCTGACTTTATTTTTTTTTTAAAAAGACATTGGCTCCCAGATTTAATTCAGCATGGGTACCAGGTATATTCCTGGGAAGTAAAGGTGGCTGGCCTAATGTTGAACACATCACTGGAGGAGTGTCAACAGGTCTGTATAAATGTGTCTAGCATATGTCCACAATGCCATTAGCAGGAGAAGGGTTCTTTACTTTATTTCACTACATCTGTAGCAACTCAGTTAAACTTTCTAATGGCTTTACTAAAAAAAAAAAGTAAAGGACCCTTTTCCACGCCTTTAGGCGTATAGGGCATATAGGGCTAGACCTATATTTTTATAGACCAATCGGCACAAGATGGGTGATGTGGTCAGAATCACACCGGCCGCCTTTACTTTCCCGGGACTGCACCCGGTACCCACTCAAGGCTGGGTCGACCTGGGAGCCAAGGTCATTTTTGAAATAAGTCCGGCTCCGCCAGGGAGCGAACTCACGACCTTCCGATCCGCGGCGAGCGTCTAGCCGCTTGGCCACAGCGACTTCCATGGCTTTACTTGCTTACTATAATATTTTGGAAGTATGGTTATAAATCTCCTCTATCGGGGAGAGAAGGACTGGGCATGTTTATATAACTGATACACTGGCTGGTAAAAAAGTTTTACAAGTGCATGCAGTCCTTGTAGAATTGGTGCAAGAGATTTCCCAAGGATAGAAATTTGATGAGAAAGAAAGTTGAAACACCCCACCCTATGATATGATGACCTAGTACATCATCTGCAATGGGATAGTCTTGATGCAAACATGATAGTCGTCAACAAACAGACAAGAACAAAAAAATAATATATATTCTATACTTTGTGAAACAGTAGAAAGACATTTCATTAAAATATCATCATAACAGTTTACAGAGATTCAAGGCATCGTGTCACAGCTTTCCAGAAAGATAACCTGCTGAATTGTTGTTCTTCTTGTTCGCCCCTGCCCCGCCCTCCTAGTCCTAAACTAACTCACATCAAGTCATTCTATTTTTCGTAGGCCCCCCCCCCCCCCCCCCCAGTGGAGCATAGATCCTAAACTAACTCGTATCAAATTATCCTATTTTTCATAGCCCCTACTTGTATCTGTTCATTAACTTGTCCAAGTTTTCGCCACAGTATTTTCTTGTCTCTGTTCATTAACTTGTCCAAGTTTTCACCACAGTATTTTCTTGTCTCTGTTCATTAACTTGTCCAAGTTTTCACCACAGTATTTTCTTATATCTGTTCATTAACTTGTCCAAGTTTTCACCACAGTATTTTCTTTTATCTGTTCATAAACTTGTCCAAGTTTTCACCACAGTATTTTCTTTTATCTGTTCATAAACTTGTCCAAGTTTTCACCACAGTATTTTCTTATCCCTGTGTATGTGTTAGTTATTGTATTTGTCTCTTTACTGATCACTGACTGACTGACTGACTTTCTACCCCACCAGGATATCACACAAGCGATAAACACCCGATGACACAAAGTGCCACCATGTGGATGAGGATCATCATAATTATGGCCTGGCTATATTTCGGCCCCTGGCATGAGCCAGAGTAGGGCTTCAAACAAGGAAAAATTGTGTCCCCAAAAAAGGATGTTAAAATTAGTGTATACTGATCACTGAAACTATCTTCCATGTGCCCTCTCTGTATCTATTCATATGTTTGTCTGTTTCACCCTTCATCTAGAGTATCTTCTACTTCCTAGTGTATCTGGTATTTCTTGAATCGTGGTAAACCATCCTATGATAATATCAGTTGTTTGCCCAGCTATTTTAATTGACTGTTTCACTGCATTCTTGTTATACATGTTAAATATTTGTACAAACATTCTTTAAGGAAGACACATTGAAAATATTTGAAAGTTCAAAATTGTCAGTGTAAAAACAACCAAGATACAATTAACAAACAATTCTTAATGTATCACATTCTTGGAGAGTGAAAATGATTTCCCCTGAAAGCACAAGATCATTTTGTTAGTGACATTTCCATGATTGTAACTGAATGACAACTTCAGTATTTTATTAAATGACAAGGCACCATCTGAGAAGAAATATCAAAGTCAAGATTGGTAGAACACATCCATCTGTTCTGCTGTTGAGAGTTGTCCCCCTTCCCTTGCTTTGTATGTGGGCATCAAACTCTATGTCCAGTGGGGTGCCTGTGGGATTAGATAAACATAGAAAGAGACTAAAGCATTGTACATTTTACAGAATACTTAAGACAAAACAGCTGGCAAATGTAGAGGTTCTAAACAAGGTGAGAATTAAACAATTATATATAAAAAGAGAGGGTGAAAGAAAGAAATGACACAAATATGGTCACATGACTCTTTCAGTCTAGAACAGTGTTAGCAAGTGTGGGCGCTACTTAGTTAGTTAGTTAGTTGGGTTATCCTCATTGCACTCCGGACATGTCCATAGGTGCTCAGATCCTCCCCTCAGTATGAACCCCAACGTCCGATGGCTAATAGTACCAGTTCTATGTTGATTAACAAGTCTTCTGGCGTAGCTGGTGTGCGTCTCGTTTTTTGCTGTGCCGATCTTAATTCCCAAGTCTGCCATTCTGGCGAGTGATGTGGATTCACTGCCACCAAAGTCCTCTATCCTTCCTATTTCTCTGAGGGCATTGATAATATCAGCATGATCCATAGGCTGACCGCCGGTAGTGATAGTGGGCGCTACTGCCCCCCTCTACCCGGGTGAGATGGGAAGGTTCAGGGAGGGCAGTAGTGGCCTTGATCACATTAAGGGGCGGTGGGACCTCTAGAGGGCAGTCTTATGTGCAGTTGGGAAGCACTGAATGAAAATAAGACAGCGATGAATAAATAATTACATATAGCACCAAATAAAAATTTAACAAAAAATCTTCCCTGTCTCCCCCCCTCTCTCTCTCTCTCTCTCTCTCTCTCTCTCTCTCTCTCTCTCTCTCTCTCTCTCTCTCTCTCTCTCTCTCTATGTATATATATATATATATATATATATATATATATATATATATATATAGATATCTATATATGTATATATATCTAGTGCTTTAGTCTCTGGTTGGAAGGACAATCTGAGCTCTATCTCTTGCACACAGCAGTGACAACCTGTATATGTGGATAAGAGACTTTCTTTATCTACTGTGTGACATAATTTAGATAGATAGCGTCTTCAGCTATACTGATTGTTTATCTGTTAAATCCGTGAAGCAGACAGGGAGTCTCCCAGAGTAGCGTAAAACAGCCAAGGTTTGGTTGACATAACTGTCATTACATGTTGTTACCAACTTGTCGATGAATTTGATGTTTAGTCGGCCATTAAAAAAACCACAAAACCTCATGTTCACTTCAAAAGTCAATTCAGAAAGTAGAGAACTGGGCAAAGAATTTGCATCTAAAACATTTACTGACCTTTTCATCTTTCCAGATGATAGTGTTATATTAAGTTATAGAGAGGTGTACGAATCAGTCAATTAGGGCCGAGGTTGAATGTATCATTTCCAGAGTGCAAAACCTAGGCTTTATTGTAGAGGCATGAGATGCCCTTCAATCATGATCCGTTGATCGGTCTGCCTTCTTTACTTCTAAGAAAAGGTGATACCAATATGTTTTGAACAAAGCATGCTGTAGAAGCTATCGGATGAGAAGAGCAGTGTTCTGTCTGTCCCCCTGTTGGAGCTTCTATCATAGACAAACTGCCGATCAAGGCAGGTCTGCCCTGCCATAACTGTTTTCCAATTGCATTTCCCATTTCTCCATCTGAAGTCACCGGCACAATTTGGAACCACAGGTTTGGTTACCTAGTCCAACAGACTTTGGTAACAGAGACAATACTGCCAACTACTGTTATACTGAAGTGCGGCAAATCAGTCTAAAACTAAAACAAACAAAACTCACTGGAACAGTATATTTGCCGAACAATGAAATAATTTTCCTATTGTTAGAAAATCAAACAAAATTCTCTCTCTCTCTCTCTCTCTCTCTCTCTCTCTCTCTCTCTCTCTCTCTCTCTCTCTCTCTCTCTCTCTCTCTCTCTCTCTCTCTCTCTCTCTCTCTCTCTCTCTCTCTCTCTCTCTCTCTCTCTCTCTCTCTCTCTATATATATATATATATATATATATATATATATATATATATATATATATATATATATATATATATGCACAAAACAGGCAATCAATTGTGCATTTTGTTGTTTGTAGTCTGTTTGTTTAAATTTACAGTGGGGACATTATTTACTATTAATTTGGCTGAAAAAGGATGTTTTGAGTTGAAAGATACTGTTTATCACAATATGCCAACAATTGTTTTTAGCACAAATTGTAGCCGAATAAATTAACATTTCTGCCGACATCGTTGCTCCGGCAGTTATAGTTTGTGAAGAAGCTTCTGCATATGGTACTAACATAAAACCTTACAACAGTCTGTACTCTTGCACTAACCTAATGCAGCACCGTTACACCTGGAGTTGGAGCACACACACCAGATTTCAGTGTACCACTTGTAGCAGCCGTCTGGAGGCAAGGGTTTGGGCAATCCGTGCAGGTAATCTGTGCATCCCCGTGCGATAACTGTAGTGAAGAAACATCCAAAACACTGTCATATTACATCATGAACAATGACACGTATACTGGCAAGTCTGATTCACCCTGAACAATGACACGTATACTGGCAAGTCTTGATTCCCTCTGAACAATGTCACGCATACTGGCAAGTCTGATTCACCTTGAACAATGACACGTATACTGGCAAGTCTGATTCACCTTTTTGCAAATTTAACTCCCCGTTTAGCAAATTAAATTCACTCTTATACAAATCAAAGTCACTCTTTTGCATATCAAATCCCCATTTTGCAAATTGGCTATCCGCCGAGAGAATCCCTCACGCCGTGTCAGCGGCGTGGATTCGGGCTTAACTAGATGGCTGAAACTCACGAGCAGCAGCTTCCCCATCTCCTGCAGCTTTGCTCGTGAGTCCTAGCTATCTAGTTCAACCCCAAAGTCGCCGGAAAACCGCAAATTAGGTCGCCGGAAGTGCGCATTTGATACGTGACTGAGGCCCTGTTTTTGGTCGCCTGCAAATCAAATTCCCACTTTTGCAAATCAAATTCCCACTTTTGCAAATTAAATTCCCCATTTTGCATATCAAATTCACACCTTTGCAAATCAAACTCCCTAGTTTGCAAATCAAATTCACACTTTTGCAAACTAAACTCTCCATTTTGCAAATCAAATTCACACTTTTGCAAACTAAATTCCCAATTTTGCGAATTAAGTCTACACTTTTGCAAATCAAATTTCCCACTCAGCAAATAAAATTCACAAGTTTGGTCTTTTCCCACAGTTGGTCCAGCAACTGTCAGAATGCGGGGCAGTCTTAACTATGAAAACCCCCATCTCTGTATTCTTGATATGTTGACAAAAAGATTAGTTCACAAACAGCCTGACTCACTTTTCTCATCTCTGTCGTAGGTCCGCGTGAAGCAGCTGCCATTACATGGGGCCAGGTAGGCATTTCTGACTCTACCATTTCTAGGACACTGTGGGTAATAGACGTTCTGGTAGAAACTGAGGCACTGGTAGCACTTGTTGATGCCGTCAGTTTCTGAATGTGAGAGAAATAGTTCATCAGCTTGCTTATGTATATATATTTATATATTATATACATTATATGTATATATCTTATATATGTATATATCTTATATATGTATATATATATATATGTGTGTGTGTGTATGTATGTACACACACACACACACACACACACACACACACACACACACACACACCACACACACACACACACACACACACACACACACACACACACACACACACACACACACACACACACACACACACACACACACACACACACACACACACACACACACACACACACACACACACACACACACACACACACACACACACACACACACACACACACACACACACACACACACACACACACACACACACACACACACACACACACACACACACACACACACACACACACACACACACACACACACACACACACACACACACACACACACACACACACACACACACACACACACACACACACACACACACACACACACACACACACACACACACACACACACACACACACACACACATATATATATATATATATATATATATATATATATATATATATCGGTATAGAACAACTCGCTAGCGCAGTTGGGTAAAACCACTATGCGATGACCGGGTGATGAACTTCTTGTGCTCAGGATTCACTCCCAGGAAAAAGCAGAGAAGCCACATTTTCTCCCAGATTTACGATATCTGTCATGGAATCAAGGCTGAAGGGTTGGGATATCCATAGAACTGAGCCAAAGAGTTTACAACTTACGGTTTCTGGATACTTAAAAAAAAATTCATCTGAATGTAAATATGGTTGTAAGTACAGATGTTTAGACATATAGTCAATATGAAAACACACACACACATACATACACGCACGCACACACACACAGTACTGTTTGTGTAAACAAGTATGTACAGTAGAAAAAGCATAAAGGTAAATGTATACGGGAATACCTATGAACATATTATATGTGTCTGCTCATATGTATGTTCACGGATATGAATGCAGTTAAATATATATACACTCACACATACCAAGAGAGAAATTGGAAAGTAATTATGCACATACTGGCTGATCACAGCATGAAAATACCACACAACATGAGTCAATCAAAACACTTCAAGTTGACTGTCTCCATTCATTAGTTATTTCCCCTGAGTCAGGTTGTAGTTTATCATCCACAACCACATGATGTCAGGATAATATCAGTCTGTAAGTTATCTGATCATGTTCTCCTATGTCCCCTGTTTTCATCAAATCATCTCAGCCCAAGTCCGAGCAGCAATATCTCAGCATGCACATGTGATGCTATTGTTTATTGAGTGCCTTATGTTACTCTGACCCGGCTTAGTTTTCCTAGCATATCCATTATTACATGACGTGCCATGCTGTCACTTATCCGTTACAGACTGGGGTTGTCTATACTTGTGACTTTCGAAATTGTTTATGACACCTTCTATCTAGAAATTGTTTACATCCTTCAGCTCAGGTGGCCAGAAACTGCTGCCTCTTCCCTTCTCCCCCAGTTGTAGAAGGTTCTAACATAATGGCATGTTAGACAGGTTACTTATCAATATATGATCATGTGACCTGGGCTATGACACATACAACAAGCCATGGACATGATCACACACACAAACACGGCAGCTTGGCTCGACTTTGAGGCAGCAGACCCCGAGTAGAGAAGAACTTTGCATCCAATCTAATGAAACTAGGCTCTAGTATTTACTTGATCTCCCATTTCACAACCTGGCTAGAATTTTGTTTTATGGAATAATTTTTAACATATCTTGTTTAACTCTTTGAGTCCCAAGGAACACATCATAAGTTGATAGGTTCTTACCTAGAAGCCAAAATGAACGCATGATGTGCTGATTTTATGTCTGTCTTTACTACCCCTTGGGCATGAGATGCTAAACCTTCTGGGACTCAAAGAGTTAAGTATGGAAAAAAAGCACAGTCAGTTATGGTGCAGATTAAACACACATGTGTACATATTTGAAATGTTTGAGTCAACATGAGCTGACTTACCCAATGTGTACATATTTGAAATGTTTGAGTACACATGCGCTGACTTACCCACATGTGTACATATTTGAAATGTTTGAGTCAACATGAGCTGACTTACCCACATGTGTACATATTTGAAATGTTTGAGCCAACATGAGCTGACTTATCCACATGTGTACATATCTGAAATGTTTGAGTCAACATGAGCTGACTTACCCACGTGTGTACATATTTGAAATGTTTGAGCCAACATGAGCTGACTTACCCACATGTGTACATATTTAAAATGTTTGAGCCAACATGAGCTGACTTACCCACATGTGTACATATTTGAAATGTTTGAGTCAACATGAGCTGACTTACCCACATGTGTACATATTTGAAATGTTTGAGTCAACATGAGCTGACTTACACACATGTGTACATATTTGAAATGTTTGAGTCAACATGAGCTGACTTACACACATGTGTACATATTCGAAATGTTTGAGTCAACATGAGCTGACTTACCCACATGTGTACATATTTGAAATGTTTGAGTCAACATGAGCTGACTTACCCACATGTGTACACATTTGAAATATTTGAACCAACATGAGCTGACTTACCCACATGTGTACATATCTGAAATGTTTGAGTACACATGCGCTGACTTACCCACATGTGTACATATTTGAAATGTTTGAGCCAACATGAGCTGATTTACCCACATGTGTACATACTTGAAATGTTTGAGTCAACATGAGCTGACTTACCCACATGTGTACATATTTGAAATGTTTGAGTCAACATGAGCTGACTTACACACATGTGTACATATTTGAAATGTTTGAGCCAACATGAGCTGACTTACCCACATGTGTACATATTTGAAATGTTTGAGTCAACATGAGCTGACTTACCCACATGTGTACATATCTGAAATGTTTGAGTCAACTTGAGCTGACTTACACACATGTGTACATATTTGAAATGTTTGAGTCAACATGAGCTGACTTACACACATGTGTACATATTTGAAATGTTTGAGTCAACATGAGCTGACTTACACACATGTGTACATATTTGAAATGTTTGAGTCAACATGAGCTGACTTACACACATGTGTACATATCTGAAATGTTTGAGTCAACTTGAGCTGACTTACCCACATGTGTACATATCTTAAATGTTTGAGTCAACTTGAGCTGACTTACACACATGTGTACATATCTGAAATGTTTGAGTCAACTTGAGCTGACTTACGCACATGTGTACATATTTGAAATGTTTGAGTCAACATGAGCTGACTTACACACATGTGTACATATTTGACTTGTTTGAGCCAACATGAGCTGACTTACACACATGTGTACATATTTGAAATGTTTGAGTTAACATGAGCTGACTTACACACATGTGTACATATTTGAAATGTTTGAGTCAACATGAACTGACTTACCCACATGTGTACATATTCGAAATGTTTGAGTCAACATGAGCTGACTTACACACATGTGTACACATTTGAAATGCTTGAGCCAACATAAGCTGACTTACCCACATGTGTACATATTTGAAATGTTTGAGTCAACATGAACTGACTTACACACATGTGTACATATTTGAAATGTTTGAGTCAACATGAACTGACTTACCCACATGTGTACATATTTGAAATGTTTGAGTCAACATGAACTGACTTACCCACAAAGTCGTTTCCTATTTCATAGAGATGAGCATCGAGTTCTGTGCCACTGGACACTCCTGTTGAGGCAATGTACATGAACAATGACATCACTATCATAGTGGAAACACACAGCAATAAACTGTACCATCCACACAATGGAACAAAGCCACAAACAACAAATGTTTGAAGTTTAAGTGATAAAACTGCGTAAAATAAAAACACACATGTCATCATTCCACAATTTCAAAGTATCCAAGAGGATGAACTTAACCGTGTCACTTCAAGAAGTTTTCTGACTTCTAAGAGTGTTGTTAATGACAAAACATCTTAGGGCGGTGCCAATGTGCCTGTTCAACATCTTTGCTACCGGTTGAAATGAAAACCCCCTGTTTTTAGTCAACAGATACAACAGCTAAAAAGTTTGCATATCTGCCCAATAAGTTTGCATGTCTGCCCAGTACGTTTGTATGTCTGCTTAATGAGTTTGCATGTCTCCACAATAATTTTACATGCCTGCCCAATGAGTTTGCATGTCTGCACAATAAGTTTGTGTGTCTGCCCAATAAGTTTGTGTGTCTGCCCAATAAGTTTGCATGTCTGTCCAATAAGTTTGCATGTCTGTCCAATAAGTTTGCATGTCTACCCAATAAGTTTGCATGTCTACCCAATAAGTGTGCATGTCTACCCAATAAGTTTGCATGTCTACCCAATAAGTTTGCATGTCTACCCAATAAGTTTGCATGTCTACCAAATAAGTTTGCATGTCTACCCAATAAGTTTGCTTGTCTGCCCAGTGGTCTCAGGTTTCAGCCCCTAGAATTTTTAAAAAAACTGACCGAAACTCCAAATTTCGTCTTCTTCTTTTTCTCTTCCTCTAGTTTCTTCGGGCAGAGTTTCACAGAATTATAAAGATCTGTATCTTTTAAATTAAATTTTGAATACGGTCATTGTTAAAGATTTTACTGAACAAAAGGGTTAAAGAAGATAATACAAACATTTGTACACTGAAACCATGAAACAGGGTAGTTCTGTGGGAGACAGTAATGGAATCAGCATCAGGAATGCAAAGTAACAGATTCATATCCACCACTTGGGGGATATTTTCTTTACGGCGTTACCTCATATTTTTATACATTAATCAGCACTCGAAGAATATGGTCAGTATCGCTTTTGCTGAACTTACTTTCCATAACATTTCCTGGTACTCATTTTAGACTTTCCTATCTGGGAGTATATCAATAAAAACAACATGCCTTGATACGGATTTGAATACTAAACCACCAGGCGGGTATGCAAGCATACTACATGTCTTGTTATCTATTAGAGAAGGTGGTGCATGAAGGAAATTAGGAAGTATTGTGTTGGATTTCATGAAACATCGGCGGGGAGTCGGGGGATGGAGGCGAGAGTGTGCCATTCGATCAAGGAAATGTCGACACACAAAAGAATTGGTCGTATTTCATGGTAACAGAAACATTCAAATATAGAGGTTCTGAAAAGATTACGATTTAAAAAGAAAAGGGAATTACTGAAGGAAATAAAAAGAGACACTTAAAATTGTTTGCCACATCAAAAGACATAACACTCTTTTTAAAATCATTCTGTACGGAATGGTTTAGGACAGGAGAGCAAGAGGTAGACACTGATACAAGTGTTTAAGAGATAGACAAATAGCAGTCTGAGAGAGTGTATAACTAAGACAAGAGATAGGCCATGTTAGAGATCAGCTGCAGTCAACCTTCATTGTGGAGATGACACTTGACTGATTTACTGATCACTCAAATTTAATTGAACTTTTTATTTAACAAGGAACAAATTATTTTATTTATTGCTATGTAGTGGTGGAAAATTAAAACTGACAACTTGATTCACAAGGATTCTGACCCCCCCCTCTCCCGCTCCCCCTTCCCCAAACTTTCAGTGTCCTTATGCTGGCATACACATGGACACAACTGATGAACGTTTTGTCGTCTGTCATGGTAAATTAGGCAGCTATTTTGAGTGAAAATTTCTGGCAACATACTGATTTAGTATAAATCCACATAGACTCATCCATCAACAAAAATACGCCACAATGAAACTCGTTCACTTGATGAACCAAGACAATCAAGTTGAACACTTCTAGTTCACAGTGAGTGGTTTGTGTGCTTCCACTACATGTTAACTTATACCTGATATGTCAAAGATGTTTTGAATATTGGCAACGTAATAAAGCAACAAATTGTCACAACTGAGGTGAAATACTGTCAGTGTACTTATTAATAAACAGTAAAAGAAGAACTGCTGCTATTGGCTTCCCACCTTAACTCCATCAACACATTGATCCACCAACTAACTAGCTTGATGTGGCAAGAGACTCAGTGGCAACATCTGGTCACATAGGTATATTCACACAGCAAGTCTAATAGGCTGATCATGTAACATTGACCTAAAGAGTTAGTTGTGTATCCTTTACAGGACGTTGCAGAATCAACCCCAGCATTTTTAGCTGTTGTGTTTTTTTTATCTATGCAAATTTTACTTTCAGTAGTTTGCCATTGCTTCTGAACAGTCCGTTCTCGGTACCACAGTCAAAACCAACGCAAGACAAACCGTTCACAGATGGGATCGAACCCAGCACCCTGGCATCACGAAGCGTGTTCGCAATGCCCAAGCCACAGACTCCGATGTAACAAGACGGCCCACACAGCCCGCATATAGAGTTTCTCCTGCTCATGCCTCTGTAAGTCTTACTATTGTAAACCTTGTTACTTCAAAACTGTAAGCTGATGGATCTCTATTAGTTAACTTACTGATTACTGATAACTGATTTAAGAATCGAAATCACAGCACACTGAAATATCCATAGATGCTCCGTCTCCCGCAGCAAATGTCTTCAGGTGTAGATGCTAGCTGTTCCCGTAGCACACTGATTATAACCTCTTTTTCCCCATTTCATACGTTCCTCCTTGTCTGATCCACACTTAATCCCAAGTTCACACATTCTTACAGAAGCTACTTCATGTAACCTTGTGTCTTCTATCAGCATTCATCCATAAATGATCTTCAAAATGTCTCCTTTGTCCAATAAAAGTGTTCTTGTAGCAGTCGCTTGTGTAGCTATCGCTTGTGTTGCTATCGCTTCTGTAGTCAGATAATCCGCTCTTTCATAACCTCGCGCTCTTGCACATCCCAGACAGTGTATTCACGTGAATCCCTGTTGTGCTGACGCGCTGATGCTTGGCATCCACTCAAGTCACCTTGGTCCATTTGGAACCTTACGCAGCCCTGAGAGTAGAACACTATAATTGCTCAGGTTTCTCTGTTTTCTGCTATCCACTTCAGAGCAGCAGTGATTGCCTCCACATCCATCCCCAGGCTTGCAGTTGTAGATAAAAGGCACCATTTTGTTCATCAACGATCTTTCGGCTGACTCTAGCTGAACAACTCCAGCAGGATGTTTCAGCCCGATGTAAAGAGCCATCGGTATACACTACTGTATCATCTAGCCGAACGTTTTCATCAATCAGTTGGTCATCAGGTGCCGTCTCCACAGTGTAGGTTGGCTGCAATGGATCTCCAACATGCTCTGTCTCTTATTCTGGTTGTACTCGTAGTCTCTCAGACTGCTGCCCGCCAATCTCTTGATGCTGTCCTCCCAATTGTATTCTTGCCCACCTCTTACTCTCTTGCTTTCGACCTTTCCCCCCAGTATGATTTTTTAAAGGGTCTTATGTCTTTTAATATGGCGAAAGTATTTCAAGTGTCTCTTTATACATTTCTTTTAGTAATTCTTTTTTCATTTGTAGCTTTCCAGAACCTCTGAATTGGACTGTTTTGTTTCAACGAAATTGAACATATTTTTCTTATACCCACATCTCCAGAGACTCAATTTGATTTTCTATATGTTTGTTCATTGTATAAGTTTCTGCACCATATAGCAGGACTAAATATACAATCAATTATTGTACCTCTAAATCTTCCATACCACTCCACATTCTCTTCCTAATTTGATAAGGTAGTTACAAAGGAAGCTGTGGTGATTACAGAAACACTGGACACTGAGGGGATTTAATGAAGAGCATTACGAATCAGAGGAGGTTGTTAAAAGAGTTTATCAAATTTCGAATAAACAATAAAGTCGGCTGCAGTAACTTGTGCTAAGTTAAATAAAATGGAAACGTCAAAGTCAGACCAAACAGACATTGTTTTAGCAGCAAATTAGAAGCCACAAACATTTCAAAGTGTGGAAAGAGGACGACAAAACAGACATGTTACCTATTGGGCCTCCATTGCACTGTGATGTGTTACAGATGCACCAAGTCTCACCCTTATAGCTGTAACAACCGGACGGCGGTAGCGGTTGAGGAAAACCATACTGGCTTGTTGTGCATCCTCGGGCAATCTCTGTCAAACATTAGAGACAAGTTTATGTGTTGACTAGGTTGTTGCGTATCCTTTACAGGACGTTTTTCTAGGCAAATTTACGTCCAGTAGTTTGCCATTGCTCACTGGACGGTCGGCTTTCTTGATACCACTGTCGATAACCAACGCAAGGCGCATGGCCCGCAGCTGGGATCGAACCCGGCATCCCGGCATTTCGAAGCGTTAGCATCGATTTAGCCACAGAGCCGACTGATGTGTTGACTACAGTACTGATATGATAAGATACTTGTCTGTCTGCAAAAAGCACATTATTTTTCACAGGTGATTGTAAAACAATAATAATATGGCTGGCAGCAGGCTTCACATACGTCAAAGAGCAACAACGCATTAAACAAGTGGGAATAGAAAGAGAGGCTGATCGTGTAAAACAATGGACAAAAGAAATATAATTCAATGGAAACCCTAATACATGATGCACACAAACGGGCACTCTTTCTGATTATGCTTCACATCGATGCTGACAGAATCAAGAGGAAGAGTATGAGATGGAAAGGAAGGTCTTTGTTGGTGAATAGTGATTAGAAAGGATTATCATCACAGCACTCCTAACAGACCCATAGGTGCTCCGATCTCCTCCGCAGAAGCTCCACATGTGTAAAACGACTGATGACGCCTGTTCTATGTTGGTTAATGAAACGTTTTGCCCCCTTAGTGAAATGTTCATTTCTTGCAGCTCCAGGTACGGTAAGTGCAGCGCAGGGCATTGATAACATCGCTTCTGTCCAGTACTGGGCCAGCCATAGCAAACGCAGTGTCAGCAAGATAGTCTACACGCTCGTTCCCTTGAACACCCGCATGACCTGGCACCAAAATGATGTTGATGCCACTGACGAAATGAATTCAGGATATTTCTCACATGGTTTTGCGCCACACTTCTGTCGACAAATAACCAATGCACTCAGCACTCTCCAGCTTTGAAAACAAGCTAAGATAAAGTTAAAACTCAAAGTTCCAGTCATATAAAACAGCAGCTACATGCAGTCAAACCACTTACTTGTAGAACTGTCACTGAAACCACTCACTTGTAGAACTGTCACTGAAACCACTCACTTGTAGAACTGTCACTGAAACCACTTACTTGTAGAACTGTCACTGAAACCACTCACTTGTAGAACTGTCACTGAAACCACTTACTTGTAGAACTGTCACTGAAACCACTTACTTGTAGAACTGTCACTGAAAACCACTTACTTGAAGAACTGTCACTAAAACTACTTACTTGTAGAACTGTCACTGAAACCACTTACTTGCAGAACTGTCACTGAAACCACTTACTTGTAGAACTGTCACTGAAACCACTTACTTGTAGAACTGTCACTGAAACCACTTACTTGTAGAACTGTCACTGAAACCACTCACTTGTAGAACTGTCACTGAAACCACTTACTTGTAGAACTGTCACTGAAACCACTCACTTGTAGAACTGTCACTGAAACCACTTACTTGTAGAACTGTCACTGAAACCACTTACTTGTAGAACTGTCACTGAAATCACTTACTTGCAGAATTGTCACTGAAACCACTTACTTGTAGAACTGTCACTGAAACCACTTACTTGTAGAATCGTCACTGAAAGTTCTAGTAAAGCAGGATCCTGTGCAGTTACCACTGTAGACCGTCTGAACGTTGACTCTGCCATTTTTGGGACACTGAGGG